CCTGAGCTGGAAGTGGCTGCAGGGAGTAAGGCTGGAGATCTGGGAGCGCCACCCTTTCTGCAGGCAGACAGGCCAGGAGTGGGCTTCTTGGGTTACAGCCGTGCCCAGCAGGACGGCGCCCTCCTCCCAGTGTTCATTGCCTGAGCCCGGCCCCTAGCCCTGCCCCTAGCGAGCTGCTGCGGCCCTCTGTGGCTGGTGCCGGCTCTTGGAGCTGCGCTGTCCCGTGCCTCTCCCACTACCCAACCTTAGACAGCTCTGCGTCCTCCGCATACTGCAGAGTTCTGACCTAGTTGCAAGGGTTTCTCACCCCGAGAAGGATCCTGGTAGAGGGAGCTGCTGGTCATTTGGCCTGAGGCAGAGTCCTGCTGCACGGGCAGGAGAATCTACTTCTTGCTAGCCAGGCAAGCCTTCCTTCCTCCCTGCCCAGCCCCCACCCCTGCTTCTCCCTGGGAAAGACTTGGCAAGGGACAATCTCGTGCGGCTTGGCCCCTGCCGTGCTCTGGGTGGGGGCACATCTGCGCTGTGTATCAGCATGGTCCCATTGCCCCACCCTGCCATCTTTGGGGCCAAGGGGTGGACCTGACCATGCTGTGAGCCCCCATGCTGCTGGAGCCACACAGAGGCCCCTCGCTGGGCCATCTGTTTGTTTGCTCTGGAGTCAGAACCAAGGTGTTCGCTTTATTTGAAGGGTGAATGGTGGGCACAGAAAATGCTCCTGGTCACTGCTTAGCTGGGCTCCTTCCCCCGCAGGCAGCGGGCTGTGGGGACAGCTGGTGGCGAGGGCGTCATGACACCAGGCTCTGCTGGCTCAGCCATGGTGGTAGGAGGAGGTGACCGCATGGCTGGGCTGAGCACCTGTGGCCTAGCCGTAGGGAGCTGGCGAGCTGGGGGCTCACAAGTGGACCCCTTGACTCAGGACTCTCAGCAGAAGGACTTTGTTGGTATGAGGAGAGTTGGACAGGAACAGGCTGTAAGCCACCCGGCCACCCGAAGCCTTTTGTAGGAAAACCCAAATCAGCCCGCCTAGCCGATGAATGCTGCCCTAACTCAAGGTGCCCTTTGGTTAGGAAGGCATAGGGCATAGAACTGTCACTTTGCCAAGAAAGCTGGCTCACCTCCTCCAGGAAGCCCCCCTGACTTCCTCCTTCAGCTCCTCTGGGACTCGGGGACGACCTCATCATCCCCCATCCCTCCGGGTCTGCCTAGCACCACAGGCAAGGTTCACAGCCGACTGCTGGGTGGAGGCCAGGATTCTGCGTTTTTTAAACAGACCTTCCTCAGGTGAATCAGGAGAGAGCGGGCATCAGATTATACCTTAAGAACTCTCATGCCACAGAGCGCCCTGTCCAACAGATATAAAATTGAGACAGAGGTCTAATTTAAAATTTTGTAGTAGTTGCTTAAATATGTAAGGAGAATGTGGTGATGTTGATTTTAAGGTATTTTTCTTTATAACCAGATGTATTTAAAATATCATTTTGAGACCTGGAGTTCAAGACCAAGAGCAATATAGTGAGGCACCATCTCTCTCTCTCTCTCTCTCTCTCTCTCTCTCTCTCTCTCTCTTTCTCTGTCACACACACACACATACACACACAAAACCACGATGTAGTGATGTACACCTATAATCCCAGCTAATTGGGGGGCTGAGGCAAGAGGATTGAAAGTTTGAGGCCAGCCTAGAAAGCTTAGCAAGACCCTGTCTCAAAATAAAATTTAAAAAATGGGCTGGGTTTGCAGTTCAGTTCTAGGGTGCTTGCCTAGCATGTGCAAAGCCCTGGGTTCAATCTCCAGTACCACAAAAGGAAAGAAGGAAGGGAGGAAGGGGAGGAAAATTATTGTTTCAACATACAATCAATACAAGTGCCCTAGTACTGAGCTACATCTCCAGCCCCTTTTTATTTTATTTTGAGGCAAAGTCTCACCAGGTTGCCCAAGCTGGCTTTAAACTTGTGATCCTTCTGTCCCTGCTTCTTGAGTAGCTGGGATTTCAAGCATGTTCCACCACACCTGGCTAATACAAAAATTCTCAATGAGCTATTTTATATCCCTTTTCCCCATAATCCAATGTATGTTACATGTGTGTCACATCTCAACTTAGACTGGCCACATCCAAGCAGTACAGCTGTAGAGCTCTGCTGCTGAGAGTGAGGTGTATGGACCAGGAACTTCCCACAGCACCCAAGGGCTGGGGAGAAATGCAGGATCTCAAGCACACCCAGGCCCACTCAACCAGAACCTGCATTTGCACTGCTGTTGGGTACCTTGTGTGCACGCCGAGGGCTGTGAAGCCTGCCCTAGAGCTATGGGAGCGCCTCAATGCCAGCACTGCGATTCAGCTTGTTCCTAGAACCTAGCGGAGGAAGGTGCCGCCCCTCCCATTCCTCTTGGCCCACATTCCCTGTGCACTGTTGGTGAGAATCTCAGAATGCTCAGCCTGGAAGAGAATACAAGAATTATAGAACTTGGGTGTGCAGAGCTGAAGGGAAATTTAAGTTTCAGTCGCCTATGTTCCTCAAGCTCGGGAGGGATGCAGCGTTTGGGCCGGGACCCACAGCTTGCTGTGGCCCAGCTGGCCACCTGTTTCCTGAGAGCGGTGCTTCAGATGAGGCTGGGTTGCTCCCTAACTGGGCAGGGAGCTGGGCCCATTTTGTCCTCAGAGTCTGTACCTCTGCCTCAGAGACCTATGGAGCCATGGCTCAGAGGCCCCAGGCCTGGTGACACACGGTGGCTGTCCATCTATTTGTGCTCTGCAAAGGATTTAAGACACTTAAAAATAGGCATCAAATGTAAAGTAAAATGAAAATGTCAAGAATTCGTTGGTATTACGGAAGTGTGCAGAGATACACGCCCAAGGATGCTTATTGTCGTGTTGTATTATCAGGGAGGGAAGTCACAACCAACCACCTAAGCACCCAGCTACCAGGGAGTGGGTAAGCCAACTGTGGCCCATGAAAACATTGAAATTCTGCATCGCAATTAAGGATACTGATGTGGACATATCCTTTGATGTGGAAAAGATGTTCATTATATTGTAGAGCATGTTGATGGGTTCATTTTATTTACACACATGGGCAAATGCCTAGAAAAAATATATAGCCCCAAATTTTCATGTCACATTTTCAGGGGGAGTGATTCCTTTTCCTTTTTTGACCACCTGCTATTTCTGTAGTTTCTAGTTTTTCCTGCAGTGAAGTAATATTTCTTATGTAATGCAAAAGTGTACAAAAGTAGAAAATAGGCTACAGCATAGGAATTGCAGTCCCATAGAATTTATCTGAAAATGTATTAACTAAGAGAAAGACTCCTAGGTGGAAGTTTATCGTGTTATGGCCTCACAGCCGCATTTACCCATAGCAGGGAGTTATTAAATGTTTGCATGTTGAAGTTGCAACATTAAAAACTCACGAGCCAGCTTTTTCTAACCATCCCTCTGTGCTCAGGGAAGTGAAAGTTAATCACAGTGCAGTTCCGTCTGTTTTGAATGGAATTCAGCAGTGCCCCCACCTTCGTATGTGAGGTCTGAGGAACCTGTGCGTATTGGGTAATGACTGCACAAGAGGCAATCCTAAAATCACGTGTGGGAGCTAAATGCACAGATGAGCAGAAACACACACCTAGCGAAGTCCTCTTGTCATCACCTCCAGGGCTACCGCTCAGCAGGCTCCTAACTGGTGTCCCTGCTTCCATCCTGTGGCCCATTCGTTATACTGTAGCTGGAGGCATCTTTTCAAAGCAGAGGTCAGGCCTTGACTCTTCTGCACAAAACACGAACAAACCCCGCGTCCTCACAAGCTCCAGAGCCTCGGTGGTGGGGCCCCTCCTGCCTCACAGAGCTCAGCGCCTTTTCATCATCCCTCTGGCCAGCTGTGCTTCCTCTTCCCCTTTCCTGGAACGTTCTTTTTCCAGAGTGGGTTGTGTTCCTGGTTTCTGCAGGTTTCTGCTGAATTGCAGTCTTCCTTAACACCCTGGAAAGTAACCCCGGTCTTACTCTGGTGCCTTACCCTGCTTCGTTTCTCTTCTGTCCCCTGACGTATGACATCTGTTTCCTGTGTCCTCCCTCCACCAGGATGTCAGCTCCCTGAGACCAGAGACTTTGTCTCTTGAACGCCCAGTGCTCTAAGTAGGTGCTCATTCAATATTGGACACATGGGCATCAGATACCCACGTGGCGGGTCGTCCGTATTCTCCCAGGGAGGCACCTGAGGCTCACCTGAGGCAGGTTACCCTGCCTTGCCCAGCTGGGGAAGCAGGACTAGATCCTGGCTCTAGTCACTTGGCTGCAGCTCCCCCGTGCCCTGGGAGGAAGCTCAGCCACACACACGCAAGCCTCTGCCCCTGTCCATCCCGCCTCCTGTGTGTTTTTCCAGTTCAGAAAATTTCGGCCCAGAGTAGCAGAGGAAAACCAGTTGTTGCTGCAGAGCCCTGGAAACTCTTCCAGTGGGTTTGACCCTGGAAAAACAGCTATCTCAGGGTGGGAAGGCAGGAAGGGGAGGGGTCTTCCAGCAGTGGGGGCTACAGGATCGATTTGGTTTTGCAGTTAAAATAACATGTGGGTGTGTTTCCTGGAGCAGTTCTGGGAGGTGGGTGGTCTGTCTGAAGTGTCAGCCGGGGTCTTCCATCCTAGCCCAGGAGGGATTAGAAGGGCTGGCAGCTGAAGGCTTCACCCCGCAGATGACATACAAAAGCAGTCATGCCTAGGAAGCATCTATGAATGCCAGCTTGGCCAGAAGGCCCACCAGTCCGTGGCCCAGTCTCCCTTGGGTGCCTCCTGCTGTCTCCCGCTTCCTGAGAGGTTCACACAACCCCTTTGATGCACAGAGAGCCCTGGCCTTCTCCCTGTCACGCCCCATGTGGTTGGTTAATCGCCTGTGAAATGAGGGATTTCGGGCGTCACTCATCCGTGTGATCGCAGTGGGCAGTGCCGTAGGGTGGGGAAGGGATGCCAGAGGCTGTTCTAATCTTCTGAATCCCGTCTCTCTGTCTGGCTGGCTCTGCAGATGCAGCTTCTGGATAAGTTCCCCATTGAAGGAGGCCAGAAGGACCCCAAGCAAAGGATCATCCCCTTCCTCCCAGGTAAGCTCAGTCAAAAGTGACCTGGAGTAGGCCAAGAAGAAGCCAGCTGCTAAGCCAAGTGTTTGGTGCGGAGGGCGGCATGTTAACCATTCCCCAAGGGATCCGGAGGCCACTGTCCTCTAAGCAGCTTCTCCTGCCATCCCAGGACTGACTTTGCTGGACCCTGGCTTTTATCCTTGAAGAGTTCCCCTATCTCCCCTCAAAAACCTCAAATGAGTATATTCCTTGGGCCTGAGCTCCCGTAGACCTCACGCCACCATTTGCAAGCTTATGTAGCATGCTTGTGAGCTAGTGAGGACAGGATTTGAACCCACCTCTGACTGGCCACAACAGGGCACCATTTTGGAACCTGTTTCAGGTGATAGTTATGTTGTGTAATTTGGAGGAAACGTCTCGGGTGTGCCATGACCTGCTATTACCATGTCTCAAGTTTGTGCAGAGCGGCGGTGTGATTACAGACTGCTGCTTTATTTGCTGTGGTGTTCAGATCTTCCTAGCGAAATGTGCATTTTCATCCCCCCTGCGAGATGGTACTCCGGGGTTCAGAGAGGTTAGTAACTGCCATGGCAGTGGCACAGCGGAGGCAGGAACTCAGGCCTCCTGCCCCACACCTGGGCTCTGCCCAGAGCCGCAGGGACAAAGCAGTCTCCCGGCTGTCCTGGTGACCTACTTGGCCCAAGCGAATGGCCTGACCAGTTCCCAGGGGAGCTCCCTTCGCGGTGTGATGCCCCCTAGGTTAACTCTGGCCCAGACCCCACAGGCCAGCCAACGAATTGAGGGCAGTCAGCCGGACCCTTCCCCTGAGCACCCCGCCAGCCCACGGTCCGGACCTACTTGTGGCTTGAACGCAGAGCTGGCTCAGAGAGCGGCTCCTCTCCGTAGGGTGCTCCCACCACACCGCTCATCCTCAGAAGCAGCAGAAGGCAAGAGCACGTGCGGCCCAAGAGTCTTACGCTAAAGTTGGAAAGAGTTCATTAGCAACCAGAAGAGCATCGAAACCCCACAACCTGCGCAAGACCAGCAGTAGTCAGTGAGGGCCCAGGAGCCGCAGCCTGGCCTCCTCCCGGGAGGCGGGACACAGCCTCTCCATTCCGGGCCTCCAGATTGCTCTGGGGAGTCTGTGCTTCGCTTAGGTTTTCACTGAGTCTTGGGGGAGTTCAGAATGTCCCACTTCTCGGGCTAACCTTAGGTGTCCCTCCAACATAATCTGGACACAAGCATCCCAGGGAGACGTGAGGCCAGCCTGGTGCCCTGTCGCAGGAGATGGCCATGGCTCTGTGGCATGAGGCCCCCTGTTCGCTGCAGAGGAAGAGGGGCAGGGTCCAGGGAAGAGCCCCTTGTCACCACTCACCCAGTGACCTGTAGGAAGGGCTGGGGTGACCCAGGCAGTCAAGGGGAAATCTTCATCTAAGGAGCTCTCAGCAGGGAGAGACAAGTCATCTCCACAGGCAACAAGTCATTCTCTACTCACAATGAGTAAAGTTGGACACGACCCTCGACCACCAAGCAATTCCAGGCGTGCCTGGACGAGGAGCTCATTGTGAGCCAAGGAAGTCAGCAAAGGCTTCCTGAGAGACAGGGACCTTGAGTTGACCCCGAATGATGGTGGGGCGTACCACCGCCACCCTGGTCCCCTGTCTGAGGAGTCAGAGTGCCAGGGTCCACCCCTGGAAGCCCTGGCTTTGGCAGTTACTGTTATATTCTCTTCTCTATGCCTTACTTTCCACATCTGGGAAATGGAAATGATAGCAGTATCTATTTCACAGGGCTGTCGTACAGGATGAAATGAATCAATGCACCTCAAGGGCTTAGAACTGCGGCTGGACCCTAGTCCTTGCACAAGCTACTATGATTTATATCTATTTTTTTTTTATTTTAAAAAATAAAAGAAGGAAAACATATTAACAAACAGACATCCATTTACAAAATAGCATAAGAACAATACAAACAAAACAGAGTTACAGACAAAGTTGTAGGAAATTAACCATGGTTGTTGTATTACTTATTGATAGCGTCAAAGCGGTTTCTCAGGTACGACTTGTATCTAGATGTCCCCGCAAAGTCCCGTGCACTCAGAAGTGGGGCTTAGAGGAGATGGTTGGACCTTGGCGGAATGATCTCAGTGACTTAGTCCACTAAGGAGTTTGTAGCTAAATGTGGTGCTGGAGTGAAGGCTGGGTGGAGGGGTGGGTCACTGGGTATGGCCCGCAAGGGTGTGTTTCCCCGCTTCCTCCTGGGATCGCTCTCTGCTTCCTGTCTGCTCTGCCTTTCCGCCCTGCCTTGGAGTCAGCTGACTACAGACTGAAACCTCCAAACATGGAGCCAAATAGACTTTTCCTGAGAGTTGTGGGTGTGAGGTGTTGTGTCCCAGCAGTGCGAAAATATCATGGCTTGTGTCTAGATGTCCCCCAAGGCCTCATGCAGTCACAGGGGGGCTTTTGCAGACATGGCTGAATCTGGAGCGTGTGGTTGATTCACGGTGCACTGCTAGGATTAAGGGTGCTGGGATTAGGATGGGTGATTACTAAATCAGTCCACTGATTGCTTTGGCACAGCCCTAATCCCAGTAGTCTGGGTACAGTATCAGGGACGGAAAGAGGTTTGTTTTGCCTCTTGCTTACTTTGCTACCTTCTACCCACCATGAGCTGTTTCTCCCCTGTAATGCCTGTCTGCCATGTGCCACCCTGCCTCGGAGGAGGCAATTCTGGACCGAAATCTCTACTAACTGTGAGCCAAGTAAACCTTTCCTGCTTTAACTTTGGGTGTCAGATGTTTTGTCTCAACCACAAGAGCAAAGTAACTAAGACAGAAAGTAACGGAGACACGTGCCTAGCATTTTATACCGCACAGTCACGGATACAGTTCTATTTGAGCTGCGTGAGATTTTTGGCCCATTTTACTGACTAGGAAACTGAGGCTGGGGGATGCTGATAGACTTGCTCAAGGCAACACAGCCAGGAGGTGGAGCCAGCACCAGGACTCTTGATCCCAACTTCTGGGCCAGGGCTGCCCTCCACATCAGCTGTCCCAGGGCATAAGGCCCTCTTTGCTGTGGGACCGAGTCCCCAGCTGACACACAGTTTTCCCCGAGAGGAGGGCAGTGGGGGTTAAAGCAGCCACGTGAAGCCCTTGGCACAGTGCCTGTGTCACAGCCAGTGCTCGACAAAGGGCAGCTGCTGGTGTAGACAATCACCTGCCCACCTCACCCCCACCTGCTGGGCAGGGTCGAGCACATGACCCACGTGAACGGGCCCACGCACAGTGGGGGATCGTCACAGGGCGGAGACCCACTCAGCCCCGGACCCCCGTGGGGAAATCTCTCCCTTGTCCTGGTTGGGCTCCCCCTCTGCCCTCCCTGGGCAGCATTCTCCCTTGCACTGTCCCCTTCGGGCCCTCACAGTGGGCACTGCTGGCCTCTGGAGCCCACCCGGGGCTCTCAGCCCCATCCCTGGCTTCCTCCTGCCCCCTGGCAGCTGCCTCAGCCCCTTCCTGCTGCGCTCACTCCGGAGCTCTACACCTTGGGCGGGAAGGAAAAGGACGGAGCAGAGCAGTCCAACACAGTCGTCATGAGGCCGGGAAGAGACGAGTGGGCCTGCGATTCCCACCCACCCCCGATCCAGGGAGGCCCCCAGAGGAGAGGGCACCGAGAAGGGCAGGGTGAACATGGCTGTCTTGGCAGAGCTCGAGCAAGGAGCTTCGGAGGGCCGCTTTCCTGGGAATTTCCCACAGCAGGGCGGCGGGGGTGGGGGGCGTGGAGAAGTAGGGCGGAGATGCGGGTCAGTTCATCTAGACTCATCCTGATGCCTGGGGGCTCCGGAGGGTGCTCAGAACCCACACTGACCCATCTAGGGCCGTGTCAGTCTTTCGGTGTTGGCCCTGTGGGGTGCAGAGTGCGGGCAAAGGGGCCCCTGGTGGCTGAGGCCATGCATCTGGGAAGGGCGGCAGCTGGGAGCTGTGGGAAACCAGTACCCACTGGAACTATCCCAGCAGCTGCAGCGTCACCTGAGGCACTGCATCTACCTACCTGCCTTTGGGGACAGCTCCGAGGTCACCTGCTGGTCCCCCAGGGTTTACCCATGGCATCGGGGACTCAGCTAAACCCAGAGAGTGGAGACGCTCTTATCACCTGGGGCCGGGGGTAGGCAGGCAGCCCTGGGGACAGCTGCGCCAGCCGTCTGCCTCAGCCCGAACTTCAGCACAAGGAAAACCCACGGAGAGGAAGCAGAAAGCATGCTTTATTTCCAGAAGGGCCTCAGTTTTAATTCCAGAGATGCTGGTCTGTGATGAGCTTTTCTGCTGCCTGAGAGAGAGTCGGGAAATGTTTGTAGCATTAGTCCCCCAACTCTTTCTGGCCCACCTGGCTACAGGCTCACGGCTGGGGCCTCGTGGACATCTGGCTGGTGCTGGTGATAAGAGGAAGCAGCAGGACTGAAAGAAGAGGGGAAACCTGTGGCTTGCTTATGGACTTTCTTAGCTGCCCGGCACATTCTGGCAGAAACTCCTACATGGGAGCCAGGACAGGGTTTAGACTCAGCCTCGAGGGTACCTAGGTAGATGTGGCCCAAGTTCAGCTCAAGCTGTGGGGTTTAAAAATGGGGAGTTCACAGTTTTCACCTGTGGCCACCAGTGGAGGTTCCTTCCGCAGGGAAGGGAACCCCGGACAGGGCCCATTGGCTCTTGAGGGGTAAACGGTGCTGTGCTCTGGGGCAGCGGGTAGGGCTCGAGGTGCCTGTGAGCAGCCCCAGCAAGATGGTGGAGGGAGAGCTGGTACAGTTACATTTGCGTGCCACTCAAACTCTGGTTTGATTAGGGAATGGCCCTTAGAGGGCCCCCTCTTTGCACCATGGCTAGAACCTGCTTTTTGGACCCTGTGGTTGGAGACTGTGGAATGAGCAGCCTCTGGGGCCCCCGGAGTCTGCGGAAGAGTGAGGAGGAGTTATAGAACCCATGAGTGGAAACATGATTCTCCAGGAGGCATCCTACTCACACGTGCAGAGAG